TCTCTCTCTCTCTCTCTCTCTCTCTCTCTCTCTCTCTCTCTCTGCTTCTCTCTCTCTCTATCTCTCGCTCTCTCTCTGCTCTCTCTCTGTCTCTCTCGCCCCTCCCCCTACTCTTTCTCCTCCTCTCTCTCTTCCCCCCATCCCACCCCTCTCACTCACTTGTTCTCTCTCTCCCTCTCTCCTCCACCTCCCTCCTCCCTCTGTCTTTCTCCTCCTTTCTCTTTCTTCCCCCATCCCACCTCTCTCCCTCACTTTTTCTATCTCTCCTCCTCCCCCTCCTCTCTCTCTCCCGTCCACTTCACCCATCTCGATCACCATCACCATCACGGCTAACGCCACAGTCGTCGCGCGCCGCACCTTGAACGAGGGCATCTTTGGCATGGACGCGCGCAGGCCGAGACGAAATCCGAGTCCGGACTCCAAACCGATCCCGCCGGACCTCCACGGCTGCGCCGAGTCGAGGAACGACTGCAGGATGCTCCCCGTCTCCTTCGGCGGTGCGGCGGCCTGCGAGATCTGCACAACAGGGGGAGCCTCCAGCTTCTTCTGCAGCTCCTCCTTGTAATTCGGCGGCTGCGGACAAAGGAAGCGGTCGCGGATACCGAGATGAGAAGCACGCACGTCGACGGACGGAAAGATTCAGTTAGAAAGAAATGTAACGTGTAAATTCACGCTAAGAAGGGTATGCTTGCATATATACCAAGAAGTTAAAAGTATATATGGACGAAAAGATTTAGTTAGAATAGCAAATAGGTTGAAATTTTACCTACAAAACCGCATGTCAAGTAGGCCTTCTTTTATCTACTGACCACGTAGGCCTTATTTTATCTCCCTCTATTCACCATGTAAGGGCCTACGTGGTGAGTAGATAAAATAAGGCCTACGTGGTGAGTAGAGAAAATAAGGCCTACGTGGTGAGTAGATTAAATAAGACCTACGTGGGGAGTAGAGAAAATAAGACCTACGTGGTGAGTAGATAAAATAAGGCCTACGTGGTGAGTAGATAAAATAAGGCCTACGTGGTGAGTAGATAAAATAAGGCCTATGTGGTGAGTAGATAAAATAAGGCCTATGTGGTGAGTAGATTAAATAAGGCCTACGTGGTGAGTAGAGGGAGATCAAATAAGACCTACATGTTGAGTAGAGGGAGATCTATTTTATCTACTCACCACGTAGGTCTTGGCGTTCTGCTCCTCAGTGTCCCACCAGTTCTCCAGCACCTTGAACGCGCACGTCTCCACCATGCGCTTGCCCAGATCTCGCTTCATGATCGACTTCAGGTCGAGAACGAAGCTGTCGACGACCGCGTCCACCGTCTTACCGTGCGTGTCCTGCAAAGCACGAACCAGCAAAACACTCACGGTCACATCACACCAAGCACCCACACTCACGGTCACATCACACCAAGCACCCACAGTCCTGTCACACCGTGCCATAGTTACAACACACCGTGCCAGTAACATCACACCGTGCCAGTTACATCACACCCAGCCACAGTTGTGCAACACTGTGCCAAAGTTGTCACATCGGGCCACAATTATATCACACCAAGCCACAGTTACATCACACAGATGTACCGTTGGTCATTTTGTCACTTAAATCACACAGACAGCTTGTCTAATAAAATCACTGTGGGTAATATTGCATAGTCTACATTACACATGGCAGGTAACATCCTAGGTGGCAGTATCATGCCTAAAATTAAGTCAAAAGAACCCTCCCATACAAAACATTCAGTGTAACATGCATACACACCTGCATATATACACATGTACGCATGCATTCACTAGTGCACACACGCACACACGAACGCACGCACACACACACGCACACACACACATACACTTACACACGAGACGAAGCAAAACACACAAAGAACAAAAAAAAAGTAAAACGCAAATGAATACCTCGTCGCTGTCGTCTGCCTGACTGTGAGTGGCGCCATCTGCAGTGTGCGGTGGGAGGTAGTTATAGGCCATGTACTGGCTGGCAAACATATCGCTGTTGTAGGTGGGCGGCATCTGCGGCGGCGGCACCTGAAACAAATGAACATCTCTGTAATCGCTTCCATCCGGGTTGCGGCGAAATATGCAGCCCTACTACTTCACAACTATTACCACTATGAGAAAAACTGAAACTGCGAGTTGAGTGTTGCACACACCTGACTGCTAGCCGATGTCATCGCGTAGCCCGGGTAACCGGTAGCGGTGGCCGTGTACGGCATCTGCATCGCGCCCGGCGGCCAGCGACCCATGCGGATCATCATCTGTGAAGAAACGACAAGAAGATCGCGGTTTCAACGTAGGAGAGACAGGACGAGAAAGAGGTAACGAGCATTAAAAAGATCATAGAAAGAAGACATGGAAAATGTTGAGGGGAAATGAAGAAGAAGACGATGACGAGGAGGAGAAGGACAAGGAAGAAGAAGAGGAGGAGGAGGAGGAGGAGGAGGAGGAGGAGGAGGAGGAGGAGGAGGAGGAGGAGGAGGAGGAGGAGGAGGAGGAGGAGGAAGAGGAGGAGGAGGAGGAGGAGGAAGAGGAGGGGGAGGAGGATGAGGAGGAGGAGGCGACGATGACGAAGAACAAGGACATGCACAGGAGGACCACCCATCCCACCCACTCACCTGCATCTGTTGATTCCTCACCATGTGCATGTACGCAGGATCCACAGCCGAGTATCCGGCGCCCGGTGCAAACTGCATCCCCATCTGCCCGCACAGCTGCGGCGGAAACCCCATCGGAAAGCCCTGCGCGCTCGACGTCGCCACCGCCACCGCCGCCGCCGGCGCCACCTGCTGGGGAGCTGCGGCCACAGATGTCGGCGCTTCCGGCATCGCCGCGGCGACGGCCGCCTCCTCCTTCTTCTTCGCCTTCTCGCCGCCGCCTCCTCCTCCGCTCGCGGCAGTAAGCACCTTCTGCTGCAGCTCCAGCACCTTCTTGTGGATCTCCTGCACGCGGTTGCCGACGGCCGCCGGCGCCGCCTCCGCCGCGCCGGGCGTCGCGGGCGAGGCGCCCCCTATGGGGCTGTACGCAGGCGCTGGGATCTCCATCTCGATCTCGTCCTGAGTCGGCGTGCGATCGGCGTGGTCCGCCTGCGCCGGCGGCGTCTGCTGCGACGGTGGCGCCCCCAGACGCTCGGGCAGCGGCGGGGGGTCGCGGCGCGGCGGGGGTTTCGTGGCGGCGGCGGCGGCGGGGGGCGGGGCGACGGGCGTGCGGCGGCCGTCAGAGCGCGCGTCCGACGCTCCTCCCTCGTCGCTGCTCATCGAGGAAGCGACCGCGAAACCCTGCGTCGTCTTCAGCAGCGCGTCGATGCGGCTGTCAAGGTCGAGTCGAGGTCGTGACTCGCGGTTCTTCGTCGCCGCGGCGACCGCGCGCTCGCTCTCCACCGTCGCCGGCTCCGCGCTCGGCTGTCGGCACGACGACGGCGTCGTCTGGCTGGAATGGTACCCTGAGGGAAGCGAGGAGGCGGAGGATGGGGCGACGGAGGGAGAAGAGAGCGGGAAGCTGGCTTCGGACGGCGTCGCGGTGGACGCGTAGCCGCGGTCGGCCGACCGGTCGCCCGGCGTGTGCTCCTCCCCGCGACGGTCACCGCCGCCGCTGCGTCGCCGCGGGTCCTGCCCCCTGGTGGCGCCCCGGTCGTGGTCGCTGCGGTGCCGGTGCCGGCCGGACTTCGCGTCGCCGTGCTCTCGCCGGTCGCGATCGTAGCCGCGGCGACGGTCGCCATGGCGACCGCCGCTGCAGTGCTCGCGGTCGTAGCGGCCGTCCTTGTAGTCGTGCCGCCGGTCCTTGTGGTCGCGGTGGTGGCGCCGGTCGCCATAGCGGTCGCCGTAGCGACGGTCACGCGCGCCGCCGCGCTCGTCGCGCTTGCGCGTCTCCGGCTCGGCGAACGCCTCGCTGTACGAATCGCCCGACCCCGACGTGCCACCGTTGCCGGCGCCACCTTTGTTCTTGCGCGCGGCTCCGATCAACTGCGTCAGCTGCGTGGCGAGCGTGTGGATCTTGTCTTCGACGTTCGGCAGTGGCGGAGGCGCCACCGCGTCGGTAGGGGGCGCCTCGTCGGCGGAGGTGCGGCGTCGCGGGTCGTGCGGGTGCAGCAGCTGGTGTTTGTTGCTGGCGTCGGTGGCGGGCGACGTCGTCGGCGGGGCCGCCGGTTTCTCGCCGCATATCTCTGCGAGCAGCAGCTCCCGTGCCTTACCTGCAGCGAACAGACGAGACGGATTACACCTCAAACATCGCACCGAGACGAGAACTTACACATGACAGAGGTTGGACACATCGGATTTATTTCCTTTTTTTTATTTTTACGGTTGTTTGTAAACTAAGGTCGCGTGTTACATTAAATTAACGAATTATAATTACCTTTAAATTTACAAACTTTAAACAACCTTTATTAAATTTAAACAACTTAGACACGTTGTGTATAAAAATTTAGACTGCCAAGACACTCTGTATTGAGCACCGTAGACATAACACATTGAGCACCTTAGACACAACACCACTGACACATTTAGACATAACACTTTAAGCACCTTACACAACAGTTTAGCCACTCAAATGAACAGCTCAGACACTTGATATGACATCTGTAGCCAATACCTTAGACAAAGTGACACCTTATACATAACAATTTAGACACCTTGGACATAACACCCGAGACACCTCATAGGTAACAATTTAGACACCCCGGATATAACACCCTAGACACATTGGACACCTTAGACATAACACCCGAGACACCTTGGACATCTTAGATACGACATATTAGACAGCTCACAGCATCAGCACGCTCGCTCGGCCCACGTACCGTGGTTGTCGACGAACACGCTCATGACCTTGCCCATGACCGGCGTGTGGTTCAGCTTCTCGATGCACGCCCGGGCCGACATCGTCGACACGAAGAGCACCTTGGCGATGCCCGTGTGCTTGCGCGTCTTCGGATGGTAGAAGATCTACGCAGAAAGAGAGAGAGAGAGAGACGGGAAAGAGGGGAGGACGTGTAGACCCCTCAGGAGAGAAGTTAACTTGCCGGTCGTTCACAACTGGCTTCAATCGTACAGTCGAGAGGAGAGAGACCTTCATCACTATCCGGTCTAGTTCTCAGTACGAGATATTCCGCGGTGTCCCCGCTGTTTTTAGTCCTAGAAAGGTGTCCTCCTCTTGTCTGGGAGTGGACATGTCCCAGGAGTCCAAACCTCAGCATCTCAATGGTCTAGTTAGAGTAGATCCTTGGTCTAGTTAGTACGCAGATTTCTGCGGTGTATTTTAGGTCTTAGGAAGTGTCCCTCTGCGTGACTTCCCCAGTAAGCTCAAAACCTCACATCACCAAATCGGTCTAAGTTAGAGTAGATCTTGTCTAGTCTAGTTACGCGATTTTTCGTTCGGTGTTGTTACGGTCTTAGGAAATGTCCCGGGACTTGTGGTACATGTCCTCCCACAGCCTAGCAAGCATTTACGTCCACACATATATCTATTATATGATACGTCGCACTTAAAAGCAAAAATTCAAAACTCCTATTATAGTAACAGGTGTCTGTTTTTAAAAGAGGTGGATTGGGCTATATAATCAGCTGTCAACTCCAAGAGCCCATGCACCCGATGCGTTATTGTTTAATTCTTTAATTTTACAACGCCTCAGACTGCAGACTACCTTTTTCCCCTTTTTTTTTGCTGCGGACTCGCCCTCTTTGTTTGAGGGTTAGAGGCGTCCAGTTGGAGCTCCCTTGTTCAAAAGTTAATTTCTACCCATGGGTATTCTACATTAACAGTGAGCTTCCAAACTGCACGAGGGATTATGCTAAATACCTGTCTTTCCTCCACTGTGCCAAACTTACGACACATGTCGTCAAGAAATGCCTCGCGGATGTTATCGTTAAGGTTCGCAAAAGTGAGTTCCCTTGGAGGTGGTGGCCCTACATAGTTGGCATCAATCTGCATAAAATAAGAATTCAATTTTAGACGTCTTCCTATACAATTGCAATAATATACTATAGTGAAAGAGGGTTAGTATGTCTTGACGGTCGATCTGCCTTTACCAAGCAACACATGTATTTTGAATGTAAATAGAGTCAGGCCTGTTCAAAGAACACTCAAGTGAAGCCCCAAGTGTATATTACTTATTGGTGATCAATCATTTCATAGATCAGGGTGCAAAACTAACATGAGTCCGGAGTCAAATACTACCTGATTTACTGTCGGACTCCCTGATTTGACATATGCAGGAGTCCGTGTGACTCCCTGAAAATTCTGCCATACAAACTAGTTCGTTCCGGAGCATGGCCTCGCGGAATTACCGTATATTTTCAGCTAATGTCCAAAGAAAATTTGGCAGACGTGCAACTGCATGAATTTTAAAAATAAGCACATGCGTTACTGTTAATATCTTTAATTTTGAACCTCAGACTGCGGACTCACTCTTTTTGAGGGTAGAGATTCCGCTGGACTCCAGTGTTAAAAAGTTAATTTCTACCCCTGTAGATGGATTCACTGTATAACCACCACATTAGACAAACACAATTTGTACTTTATAGGCAGTTTTCCATTCAGATGTGATTGCTACCACAGCTTTCACTGTCCTGCAGGATTTGACAACCTAATCTAGGTGTGACATACAAGGATTTACGTTATCAGCTTACGTTATCCATCACAACTTTTGAGTGCGCAGGACAAACGTTACCTTCATCTTTGGTACGGGAAGATCCGCTGGCTCTGTGTCCTTCCAGAGTCTGGTGAGCCTCGAGCGTGGATCTCTCACATCAACCAGTGGCTGGTTCACCTTCTGTTAATGTATAACAGTATATGTTAACCATACTACACTCACAGCTATTCCTGAAGCAATAACCATTTGCCGACATTCAGTCATACAAGAGGAGGCACTGACATGATCACGCTGTGCATTCTTACCCCCGGTATGATCCCATCATAGCGGATGACCTTTTGTTTGCCACGTCCAAGGAGAGGATCAGCAATCAGCTTGAAGCTCTTGTATTTGTGTTCTTCCTGTGAGGGTGGGTGGCGATGCCCGCTGTTGCCCATGCCTCCTCGAGACATCACCCCATTCATACTCACCACTGAAAGAGAGAACAATGATTAACTCTGTCTCCATCTAACTTCATAGGCTGGTTAGTGGCTATGTACTGCATCTCGATTTTCATTTAAATCAGTTTAAGTTAAATATAAAATGCAGAAACGGTCTCAGTTTATACAAGCATCAACCAGAAAACTACAAGTTGCTCCAAACACGTCGGATTTCAGCGATATGTGCATTTCTACGTCTCTAACATTATGACTTGGTAGTGTGTGATGACACCTTGTATTTGTACACCTGTAAATACGAACCACGGCACGTGTAAACATAAACAATAATGAGAGTTGTATACGTAATACTGTCTCACATTATATAGAAACTTGAATCGCGATCAACACTCAATATATCACAGTAGCGCTTCCTAAACCTACAATGCTTGGTTCACCGATACTTCATGGTCCATATACACTCATAATATATGAGAAATGTAATCTGCTTGAGCTACTAAACCCAATTTAGTGAAGAAGTTGACAAAGTTCCATTCCGCGAGTAAGTTTAGCTCTCCTGCCGTCGTCCCACAATGCACTATATGGAGATTAGGCGGTTTTCCGTATCGATATATTTATCGTTACTATTAATGTAACTTTGTAAATATAACAAATTATCTGAGGTAGTTATAATAGGAAGATTACTGTAATACAAAATATATATTAGAATATTTTTTAAATGCATTTTTATTTAGTATAGTATCTGGTATAGAATACGAGCTCTGTTTTACTCGCGTGACCTTTGACCCTCCTATCTTTATGAATGTGAAAATGCAGTTAAATCTTTATGTGAAATAATAAGGTTTTATGAACGCAGCGAACCGTTTTTAGCAATACAAAGTGTAGTATTTTTATACTTAAAACTATATTGATCAGTAAAATATAAAAATGGATCTTTTATAGTATAGCTGATGCTAATCCCACCCAAGTAAAAGGTACACTAAATTTACATGTATGATGACAGTACTGCCACTGGACATTTGTATCGTGTATCTTGGTACCCTCTCTTGTATTTCACAAGGCACTCGATTCGGCCCAAGGATAGAGAACATGGGTCCCAATGAAACCAATGTGCTTGGCTAATACCCTGACCTTAACCCTAACCATAACCCTAACCTATTATATTGATATAATATTATCCACGTACCCGTGGTTGTCGACGAACACGCTCATGACCTTGCCCATGACGCGGCGTGTGGTTGCAGCTTCTCGATGCACGCCCGGGCCGACATCGTCGACACGAAGAGCACCTTGGCGATGCCCGTGTGCTTGCGCGTTCTTCGGATGGTAGAAGATCTACGCATCGCGACACGAGAAAGAGAGAGAGAGAGAGAGATGAGAACTTTGGCTCAGCAATTGGTTCAATC